TTTGCATTATGGCTGTTTTCTTGTTGAAAGGAGTAAGACTTGGAAGTATTGGAAGCCTCAGACATTTCTGGGCCTGATGAGCTGAGTGGATGGAAGGTGGTCCTGAGTGGGTGAGCTGGTTGGACCAAAGCATCGTGCTGGGTGTCTGCTGAGAGTCTCCACAGTTGTGTCTGTGGTGGAGACTCCTCTGTAGAGGGTAAGCAGGGCAGGTGGACGTGAGACTCTGGAGTTACCTCTCTGGGAGAAACTGGACACAGTTGCTGGTCAACAGTGAGGCCTCCTAGATGACTGCCATCTGCCCAAAATGGCCAGAAACGGGGGAAATAGAATCCATGGGTTTTTAAAATCCAGAGTAAGGGGAACTCCACCCGGGAAACACAACCCCAAGTAAAGTGTGTGGAAGCAGGATGTTTTAATTGCAAACCTTTCTTGAGAACCAGCTGCGGGGTAATGTTATCTTGGCCGCTCCTGCAGCCAGAGGAGAATTTATCTGGGCCCCTGACGCAGGCCCCGTAAACAGAGCTGGCTTTCTCAGATGACCTCTGCCCTGTCCCCCTTTCCCTCCACCTGCTCTTTCTCAGGGGGTTATCGCTAGCTTTTCCAATGCTGGCAGGGCCAGCTCCGAGAAGCTTGAGAATCTAATGAGGGTGGGGGGTTGTGTGGGTTGGACTGGAATTTTGCATATCCATTGCTCATCTGGAACGCTAATCTAGGATGTTCAAGGTTTGGAGGAAAGCAGATGAGCACTTGAAAGAGGCTGCCCAGATGAAAGAAAAGGGGTCTGGAGATGGTCCTCGGACCTCTGGGCTTCTGTTTCCAGGGAGGTCTCTGATCATTTCCTCAACTCAGGATTTAGACGGTTTGTCCAGGAGGGAGGCTGGGGGGCCTCTGGTAAATCCTAAAGGTTTGGGAGAACCTGGGGTGAGGATTCATTTCCACACCGCTGCACCGGAGTCACTTCACGCTCATTTCATGTGCAAGCCTTTGCCCAAAAAGGAAAGAAATGAGTTTTGAGGGGAAGCACGCCGTGTTGTAGCCTGGTGGCTGTGGCCTGCAAGGGTCACAGGGCAACTTCTGCCACCCTGCCCTCTGGCTTTTCTCCAGAGGTTGTCTTCGGTGTGGGTTCAGGTCAAGGGTTAAACAGAGATGGTTCTCTGTGAAGGGAAAGGACTTTTGCAGGGGGCGGGGGGCGGGGTGCTCTGGTTGTATGCTGGTTAGTCCTAGCCTGGAATTGGGAGGTCTGGGCTCCTGTCTCAGCTCTGGTTCCAATGGGGTGAGCACACCTGCCATGGCAACCAGCATAGTGGGGCAGGCCCGCCAGCCCCCAAGCTTGTGCCTATTGAATAGAGGAGGAGCCTGGGGGTCTGAGAGGCTGGACTGAGGTCTCACAGCCAATAGAGACGATCCTAAGAGTAAAACCCAGGTGTGACTGACTCCACAGTGTGTGCCTCTTCCTTGGCAAATCACCATCCTGGGTCTGAGTTTCCTCTGCAGATGAGGAGACCTCCCAGCTGCCGGAGGCTGGGAGCCTATAATTAATTCTCCCTGGGAGGTTAAGGGAAGCCCCTAATTACTGAAGAGGATGGAGCGTGGGTCATGTTAAGCCCCAGTTAAGCCCTTCCTCCGGGCCCCGCTTGGTTGACCAGGGAGAAAGGCTGTTGTCTGCTGGCCTGCATGCTCTCTCCTGGGAGGGCACTCCCGCTTGGGGCCTCCTAAATAGTGTGTCTGCCCAGGCAGGGGTCAGGAAGGCAGCACTTGGCCATGTACAGTATCTGCTACCTGCCCAGGACCTGTGGGAAGGGGAGATGCAGGTGGGAGGGGAGATGTAGTCGGCAGGATTCGGGGGCCAAGGAGTCAGGAGTCAGCAGGGGGATGGGATGGGTTATAACCCCGGTGAAAGCCCCAGAGCATCGGGCCACAGTCCGTGAAGCCAGTCGTGTGTGAGGGTGTCCTCTGCATTTCTCTGGTTTTGTAGCATTCCTAACCACTGACTTCTGTCTGGGCCCTGAGTTCTGCCTCTTCTTGCTCTCAGAATTGACATGACGCCCCCATGTTCCTCTAGGTCCATCCCCGATGCAAGAGGCACACAGACTTTTCAGGCAACCCAGAGATTTATTAAGAAAGGTGTCTTTCAGTCCTGATTAAGTAGTTCAATTTAAATATCCATACTCTTAAATTTACATACAGGAAGGTAGTCCAGTGTGGTTAAGAGCATGGTGATTGGGCTCGGCTGGACCTGGGTTCAAGTCCTTTGCTCTGTATTTTACTGTGTGACCTCAGGCATGTTATTGAGCTTCTCTGAACCTCGGCTTCCTCCTGTACAGAATGGACATAGCAGTGGTAGCTATGTCATAGACTGAATGAGCTAATGCGGATGAGTGCTTTATGCTGCGCTGGCCTGAAGTGGCCACTACCTGAATGGTTCCTACTGTTAATTGTATGAGGTATTTGTTTATATATCATCTAAAGCAAAGCACACCCCTATCTATTATAATCATAGTCAATGGTTTGTTTTGGGTTTGTGAAGATAGGGATGGCCTTTCCCTTTATGTTCTTTCTTATCAGGGTCACATAAAACATGTCATCAATACCCCACATCAGTGTGGCAACCTTCGCTGTCTGCTTTGCTTTATGGCTCTCTCCTCGGTTTCCCGTCACAGAGAACACTGCCCTGAGCCAGGCGACCTCTCTGAGGGGGCTTAGGGGGGTGGGGGTGTGGAAAAGGGAAGGAGGATTCAGAGCGTGTTTGCGTAGAGGTTAACTGAGTAGCCCCAAACATGAAGCCCCATATCCCTGGGTGCAGAACCCTTGCTGTGGTGTGAACGTTTGTGTTCCCCTAAATTTGTATGTTGGAGCCCTAATCCTTGAGGCGGGGCCTTTGGGAGGTGATTAGGTTTAGATGAGGCCATGAGTGGTGGGATGAGTGCCCTTAGAAGACGAGGGAGAGACTAGAGCCCCCTCTCTCCACCACATAAGGTTACAGCAACAGGGCAACCATCTGCAAGTCAGGAAGTGAGTCTCACTGGAAACCTTGATCTTGGACTTCCAGCCTCCAGAACTGTGAGAAATAAATGTCTGTTGTTTAAGCCACCAAGTCAATGGTATTTTTTCATAGCAGCTCGAACAGACTAAGACAGCCCTGTTCCAGGCATCCGGTGAGTTCAGCTATCCTGAGGCCAAGGGATCTAAATATTCCTCCTCTTTGCTCACATTCCTTCCTTCTCACAGTGGCTGAGACCCCTGGCTTCGCTGGCCATTTTCTTTTCACAGGTGGAGTCCCCCAAGACCTACTGAATCCGAATCACTAGGCGATTGCCTGGAATCTGAGCGTTTATGAAGCCGGCCAGGAGATTCTGATGGGCCCCCTGGCAAAGGGAACCACAGCTGTGGGAACAGCCACTCGGTCTCTTGGGAGGGAGGAAGCAAGGCAGGGGTCTCACTGTGCCTCAGTGCTGTCCCTTAACCCCAGAGAGGTCACAGCAGGCACCAGAGGGGAAGTTCAGCAGAATGGCCCTGAGGAGGTTGAGGGGACCCCTCCCTCTCACTGAGCCCTCCCCCAGGAGGGTGTGCCTTTGGTGTGTTTTCAGGTGAAAGGGACAGCAATGGTGGCGACAGTAGGCCAGATTGTGTGGCAGGGGACTTTCTCCTTCTCCAGCCAGCAGGCCTGCCCACCTCCTGGGCCAGGGAGCCTCCCAGATTGGCTTGAGGCAGCAGCCTTGGAGAACCTGAGCCCCGGGAAGTGGGGTGACATTGGGAATGGGGTCCTGGAAGTGCCTTCATTTCAGACAAGTTTACAAATCTTACATGGGCTCACTTCTGTCCTACAAATCTGCCCCTCATCCAGAGGGTCCGTTTGATTGTTCATAGCAGCAAAACGCTTTCTGAACTCCCACTCCGGTCTGTGTCCGGCCCTGAGCCAAGACGTAGGGATACTGGGATGAATTGCACATCTCTGAAATGCTTATGGTCACCTGAAGTGCTTTTCGGAGTGGGTTCTGAGGATCAACTACAGCAGAAGTGGTTTGTTAAAAAGGATAGATGCTGGGCGCCTGGGTGGCTCAGTTGGTTAAGCGACTGCCTTCGGCTCAGGTCATGATCCTGGAGTCCCGGGATCGAGTCCCGCATCGGGCTCCCTGCTCAGCGGGGAGTCTGCTTCTCCCTCTGACCCTCCCTCCTCTCATGTGCTCTCTCTCTCTCTCATTCTCTCTCTCAAATAAATAAATAAAATCTTTAAAAAAAAAATAAAAAAAAAATAAAAAGGATGGATGCCCAGTTTTAACAGGTGGTGGGAGAGGGCAGGGGGTGTATGGGAACTCTCTGTACTTTCTGCTCAATTTTGCTGTGAACCTAAAACTGCTGTGTAAAAATAAAGCCTTTAAGGGGCGCCTGGGTGGCCCAGTCAGTTAAGTATCTGCCTTCAGCTCAGGTCATGATCTCGGGGTCCTGGGATTGGGCCCTGCATTGGGCTCCCTGCTCAGTGAGGAGTCTGCTTGTACCTCTGCCCCTCTCCCCTGCTCATGCTCTCTCTCTCAAATAAATAAAATCTTTTTAAAAAAAAAATAAATAAAATGTAGATGCTTGAGCCCTGAAACCCCAGATCTACTTGTGCAGAATTTCAGAGAGTGGGGCCCCAGCATCTGCAATTTGGGAAGACCTCCTGTAGAATCTCATTCACTGTAAAGTTTGAGAACCAGTGGAAATTTTTGACAACCCCAATGTATGTTCATTGTATAAAATACATATAAATGAAAACCACTTGTAATCCTAATCTAAGATAATCATCCTTAGCAATTTATTGAATATCCTACTAGATGTGTGTGTGTATTTAAATAAATGTGTATAGCATCTGTGTGGTACCTGACACACTGTGCTGGATCCTGGGGACAGAGGTAGGAATGGTCCTGGCCACGGGACACCCCCAGTCATAGTAAATGGTGCCTGGTACAGCTTGAAGCTCAACCTTCGTCACCCACTCATTTGCTCTTACTTTTTCTCCACAGGTGTACATCATCAATGTGACCTGGTCCGACTCCACGTCCCAGACCATCTACCGGAGGTACAGCAAGTTCTTTGACCTGCAGGTAAGTTGGTCTGAGTTCAGATGGTACCCAGTTTCACCTGCAGTGGCCTGAGTCTCTGGTGGGCTGGCCTCTCTCATGTCCTCATTCATCTGGAGAACCCCTGTCAGAGCGCTTGGGGTCCGCGTCTCAGTCAAAGCAGAGGGACAAATGAGGAAATCTCGCCTGTCTAGCTGGGTCTTGAATATTGCACGCAGTATTGAACATTGCATGCAGACACCAGGCTTTGTGGGCTTCCTCTGATGGTCTTAACAGTCAAGCTTTGTCACCCTCCTTTGCCTGGGGGGTAGGAAACCAGGGTGGAGAGGCAGGAGAATGGCTGTGGGTGCTGTGTGCATGAGCAGACATGTATCTATAAACATCCAGGGTGAGACACAAGCCACTACGTCATTGCAGACAAAGAAAAGCAAACACACAGGAGAGACAGAAACAGAAAATAAGCAGTGTCCTGAACTACAGACACAAACTGGGCATACCACTGTGTCTGTCTCGCTGAATAAGGCTCTCACCGCCCTGTTTGTACCCGCGCGTGGTGTGTGCAACTCTCCAATATACACAGGCATGTTCACACAGCTCCTCCTGCAGACACCTCCCTTGACTCCAGCTAACTTGGTTAGACCTTTCTGAGTTACAAGGGATAGTTTTACACTCCTACTGGCTCAGACAAATAGGAGACTTGGTTGGAAGGAGATACCGGGGAAGATATGCAGTTGACCAGAGGGTGAAAAGGAGAGTGAGACAGTGGGCTCCAGGAACACCAGAAACCACAAGTGCTCTCTCTCTCTGTGTTTACTCTCTCCTTCTCTCTGGGCACTGTCCTCAGATTCCCGAGGAGCGTGGCTGTCAACAGCTCCCGAATTTCATATCTATTGGCTCCCAACACCAGAGAGATTGATTAACTCTCCTAGTTTCAAGTTGAAAAATCCCAGGGAAGACTTGGATTGGCCTGATTTGGGTCAGGTGCCCTCTCTGGACCAGTCAGTGTGGCCCCGGGTAGAGGGTCACAGACATGACCAGCAGGGTGCCTAGGCCTCTGTATCTGAGTCAGGCACCAGAAAAGGCAGAATCACCATGAGAAACCCTTCCTATATCAGGAAGGGAAAACAGAAGTTCTAGATTCTTCTTTAGTGCTATAAGCCTGGTGTTGGCCAATAAAAATACAGAGAAGAGACATGCACTCCTGGCCCTCACAACCAAGGTCCACTCCTTCGTTTGCAGGCTTTTGGTGGTGAGTCATCTCGGAGAGGCCAGGCCTGCATGTTTGCCCCTAAGTACCTGACTTTATCCCATTGTCGTTATCACTCTATTTATGAGATGAGCCAAAGATGAGCCAGCTTCCTGTATTCCAGTAAATCCTGTCTTAATCCAACAATATGGGGTGGAAAGCCACTCCTTACCTTCCTGCCTCTTCCTCTCCTCACCTCCCCCATTCCTGTCCAATCTCCTTGGGTCTTTCTGGTATAAGCTGGTGGGATTTGCTGATACCCCATCAATGGGTGTAGTGTGCTGGACAGGAAATGATAAGTTAGTTGGGGAGACGGAACCCTGAAAGGACTCATTGATGAACCAGAGAGGGTCTGTGAGCCAGCGGAAACTCCCAAATCAGAGCTTTTCTTCCCCCCTTTCTGTTCCGGTCCCTCCCCGCCTCTCCTTAGTTACAGAACCTCATGAGAAAGGAATGCTGCTCCCCCCACTTCTTCCTTGCCTGGAGGGCTTGTTTCCTGTGTGTTGGGACACACAGCATGGAGCATCTTGTGCGATGTGCTGGCTCTCGCCATGAGCATGGCCAGGCCTGTCTACATGGGTCATCGCCACCCTGTAGATGCAGTTTGGAAAGGGGTTGGGATGGTTCTTTGGAATTTAACCTTTGAGCCAAGCATAGCATCTCTGTGAACCCATTTTACAGAACTCAAGACATGATGACTTTCAGTGGCGTTCACGTTGGAAAGCCTTTCTTACTTATCGGGGTCGCTGATTTTAATATGGTGGCTCCTATAGAGGAAGAACGAATGGCATTGCTAACTCTGTCTCTGGTCTCTGGTGCCCTCGCAACTGGCCTTTCTGAGTGGCTGTGTGAGAGAGTGGCTTAGAGCTTAGGCACTGGGGACGCACTGTGGCTCTGTCACACTGTATAACTCTGGAAACGGGTCTTAACTTCTCTAGGTTCTGTTTTCCCATCTGTGGAATGAAGATTTGAATAGTACCCACCCAGGAGGGTTGTCATGAGGTTTACATGAGCAAATCTACGCGAGATCCTTGGTAATGGACAATCTCATGCACACAGCAGGGCAACCGGCCCTGAGGGGGTGGCAGGTCGGGGGAGGCAGGAGCGGAAGGACTGGTGCTTGGAGGAGAGATAGTGTCTCTTTGATGTGCCCTGTGGCGTGAATGAGTCCTCTGGTGAAGCATGGCGGAGCTAGCTCATTAATGGCATTGGGGAAGAGAACCCACAGATAAGCCGGTAACTGCGCATTCTACACTTATCTTAGGACTTTACAGAGCTGGTCGTTCATCTCCCTACTCCCCTCTGTCCCCTGTGCCACCCACACTTCTTACTAACTGGATACCTGCTCCCTTTGAGGCCCTGGAGCAGGGTCAGCAGATAAAATAGGAGATGTCCAATTAATTTTGAATTTCAGATAAATAATGATTATTATTATTTTCTACTATAAGTGTATCCCAAATATTGCATGGGATATACTTATACTAAAAATGTGATTCCTTGTTTATCTGAAATTCACATTTTATGGTGTGTCCTATATTTTCACTTGCTAAATCTGACAGCCTTAGAGTGGTGAGGGTGGATGTATAAAGATGAATAAGTCAGGCTGGCTCAGGGTAAGAGTGGACTGGCCTCCCACATAGGTGTGCTTCTGCAGGACGGAAGTGGGAATGCTAAGTCGAGAAGGACAAGGTCCCTTCCTTTTAGAAGTCTGGTGGGGGGAGTAGATTTTTAAGCAATGAAGTCCACTGGAGATGAAATAGACACTAGATTGAGGGACAGGCAACATGCTATGGAAGGAGAGGAAGGAAAGAGCCTTCCTCTTGGCAGGGGGCACAAAGAGGATGCCTGTATGGTTCTGATTGGGACAGCAGCCTGGAGTGATACAGCCCCACACCCCCACGTCAGTTTGGGGGTCTTTGGTTGTTTTTTTGAGAATTATAGTTATCAGGGTAAAGGATGTCCCTAATTTGTTTATTCATTTATGCTTGCATGCCTGCCTCCTTCTAGCCATTGGTCATTGTCTGTCCATCCATCCGTCCATCCACCCACCTACCCACCTTCAATCTATCCAATGTGAGTGCCTATCCTCTATGTACCAGGCACTATGTCAGTCTCTGGGGATTTATCGACGAGCAAAAGCAGATCTAGTTACTGCTTAATTTATGGAACTTACCCTTAGTGAAATAAGATGGGTTTTAGTTTTTAAAAATTGCATATATATGGGACTCCTGGGTGGCTCAGTTGTTTAGGCGTCTGCCTTCGGCTCAGGTCATGATCCCAGGGTCCTGGGATTGAGTCCTGCATTATTAGGTCTTTGCTCAGTGGGGACCCTGCTTCTCCCTCTCCCTTTGCCCCTTGCCCCTGCTTGTGCTCTCTCTCTCTCTGACAAATAAATGAAATCTTAAAAAAATTATCTATATATAATTTTATACTATTTCAAATGCTATAAAGAAAACTACCATAGAGATACTGCAGAGAAACCTTATGCTCTGGGATCAAAGCAGGCTTCCCTGAAGGAGTAAGTGGTATCTGACAGATCAAGGAGTTATTTTCTCTCCTTTTTGAGATCAGGGATTCTTTTGTGCTTCTAATGAAAGCAAAAGACTCTCTCTGCAGACAAAGGCATGAATGTATATATATAATTTTAATAACCTTTTTGGTCATTCATACCCCCCCTGAAATCCTCCCAAGGGCACCAGGATAAGACCCACTACTCTGCTCCAAATCTTCTTCTCTCCCCGTATCTTCAGCCTTCAGCCGCAGTGGTTCTGTGTCCTCCACACACAAGGGGCTGTGCACTGAATTCGGCCCCTCTTCCTGCCCACTGGGAAGCACGGCTATGGAGGCTTCACACCTGGGCTGTTCACTGTGCTAGCCGCTAGCCACATAGGGCTATTTACATTTACATTTAAATTAATTAGAAAATTTTAAAGATTAAATTCAATCAAGTTAAATTAATTTTTAAGAATGAAATTAATTGGCTTTCTTGGCCATATTTGCTGTATTGTAAGTGCTCAGTAGCCGCAGTGTCTAGTGGCTACATACTGAGCAAATGGAGAATGTTTGTATCATGACTGTGCTGTTTTAAACCATCTGGAACACATAGCAGGCTTGATCTGGCGTTACGCCTGCCCCAGAGGGCACTGCCACCCTCCTGTTGCCCTCTAAAATCTTTAGGGCCCTGGCAGGAAGAAGGAGACTATGTTCCACCATGATCTGCCCGATCAATAGAGCAATTCAATTCAACGGCTATTGCAAACACTTCTTCTGGAAGCCAGGTCATTTGCTAGAGAGGGCTTCGAAGGGCATTTCGGATGTTAAGTTGGGAACAGGGAGAAGAGAGGTTCTTGGTCTCCAAGTGGAAATTGATTTCTTCTAAAAATAATCCACCACTCAGCCTATCTGACCAGGAAAGGGACATGTCCCGGAGGGAGCTGTCGGGGACAAGGCCTGATGGTGAGGCCCGCTTGGCCATAAAGGGCTTGGATTACTTGGAGGTACAGTTAAGGGCAGGAGGACGGTAAAGGGCCGCAGATGCTCTTCAGTTGCCTTCACTGGCACTGGACCACTTTTCCAGCCTCTGTCCATGTCCTTGCACAACTCCTTCACTGTTAAGTAGCCCCCCCATGGGGGCAGGACCGGAAGGCTCTCTGAAGGCCCGGCTCCACCGAAGGTTGTTTCACAATCTGACCTACACGGCGGCGGGCGGCCATAATTGCTCTGCAAACAGAGGCTCGGTGCAGCTGTGGCCCTTTGGTCTGAACTCCGGCCAGTGAGT